GGGAAAAGCATGGCGGCGACGGAGAATGAGAAGGGCGAAAGCAGATCGATGAATGAAGCAGATGAACCAGAATTGGTTTGTAAAAATGCTGCAACTTCAGTGGTATGGAACTGGTTCGGCTTTCGTCCGTCAGATACACAACTGGCCATTAAGGTGTTGCAGATAAATACAACAAAATAAAACCAGTAGTAGTACCAAAACAAAGAAGATTTATTCATAACACACGCAAAAAGACCCAGGGAAATCAAGTTAACGATTAAAAAGAAATAACGCTAAAAACCCTGAAAACCATCAATTTCACACCCGAGCCTCAACTCTCACGGCCCGGTACCAAACAATTCCGTTCCGGGGCGGGGGGGTTGGGGACCGCTGATGTAAAGCATGCCGCCACTGGACTCTATGTGATCTCTAGACTGATAGATAAGTAAATTACCAAATGTAAAGTTGGTAAAGTGGACAAGGGATTATGCTGTGGGACAGGAACTGGGCTATTTCGTTGTAATGAAAGGAACTCGTAATGCTTCAGCACATCAAGACATTTTGGATAATTTCTTGCTTGCAACTTTGTGGGAACTTTTTGGGGATTGTCCCTGTCTGTTTCAACATGTGCACCAGTGTACAAAGCAAGGTCAATAAAGACATGGATGACTGACTTTGGTGTAGAAGAACTTGACTGGCCTGCACGGAGTCCTGACCTCAACCTGCTAGAACACCTTTGGGATTAATAAGAGCGGAGGCATGCAACATCACTATCTAAACCTTGTGGAAAACCTTCCCAGAAGAGTTGAAGCTGTAGCTGCAAAGATTAGGCCAACATATCATATTAAACCTTATGGATTAAGAATAGGATGTTACTCAAGTTCATATGCATGTAAAGGCAGACGAGGGAATACTTTTGGCAGTATAGTGTAGTTTAGCTTCTGCGACTCATAGAGACACCTGTAGCAGCAATTGCTTGAAGTACTTGTTTTCTATATAAATTTATCGGTCTCACGTTATTTTGGAGGAATTTCGGTCCACTTGGCTTTTACGATGTCGCTTCAGTTTATTGAGGTTTGCAGACATTAATTTGTGCGCAACTCTCATAAGGTCAGTTTGGGCCAAGCTGTAGCTATTGGACAGGTGGCCTCACATTCAATTCAGGAATACTTTAGTTTATAGAAGTGTTCATGTTTGACTCAATGACTACAGAGCGCCCAGGTCTTGTGGCTGCAAAACAATGGTGGACAGTTGGTATGAAATATTTGTGCTGATATGCCATGACTCTGTGTATTATGGCCAAACATTTCAACTTTAGTATAGTCTTTTCAAAGCACATTGTTGCAGATGTCTTGCGCTGTGATCAGATGGTACTTTGCAAGCCTAATTGTGCTGCCACATTCTTTTTAGAGAGAAGATTGTTTCTCTTGGGAACTTTTTCAAATAAGCATTATTTTATTGTCTTTTTCAAATTGTACTGCCATGAATTTTAACATTTAACATGCATGTCAGGTCTCTGACCAGAGTTAGCATGTCAAATGTGTGATTGGGAAATATCTTGAGTGTTTTCAGTGGAATGTTTGGAAATTCCCAGTTTGATTGGCAGCAACAGTTGCTTCTTTAATGTCATTATTGATGTTTTCCTCCTTGGCATTGTGTTAAGAAACACCTCACCTGCTAAGAAGGCTTAAAACGTTTGCTTTTAGAGAGGTGCTCACATTTGCTGATGATAATTTAATCAAATGCATTGACTGGCAGCACCCAGCTGCTACTTACTGTTTTAATTCATACGGAAGCTGTAAGGGTGGACTGTTTTTCGCGCACTGCTGCTGCATTTTCGTTTCGTTTTAAGTAAATAATGGTGAAGTGAATAATATGTCATGTGTTCTTGTTCATTTGAGGTTGTTATTAGCTAGTTTTAAGACCTAGCAAGAACCAGATGATTTTTATTTAATTTTGTGGCTGTACTTTTGTTGAACAATGACTATAATACCATTTTACCTTTTGTAGCACACCCAAGTGTAGTGGATGGGTAGCTCTCTATCAGAAGTGCAAAAAGTAACAGCTGCCCCCAGCTTTCTCTCCCAGCTCATGTCATTATTATGCACACATTACACTTTGCTTTGACACAACCTTTTTAACAGACCTCCACATATAGGATATGGATCGTCTCCACGTATCCCATGTAAGCAAACTTTTTCTTCAACTGTGTTTGTATGTGTTAAAGAAAAGAGATGGATCAATAGAGTGACTGGACCATGACTTTTTCTGAAGGATATTGTATTTTTAACAAGAAGAGCCTCGGCTAACTTTCCTGTTGTTTTGATATGTAAAAGGTGTTGGCTTGTTTCCAATCCTGCGAATGTGAATTTGGTGTTATTTTGTAGCTACTTCAGATTCAGATTCTTATATTCACCTATAAGTTGTGGTGATCATTTTGCACAGACTTTGCAACAGATTCTCAGTGACACACCACAGTAACAAAATTAAAACAAACGGTTGGAGTTTGGCTGACATATTCCCTTCTAGATACTGACTTTGGCACAACTGTGAACTCCTGATCTTATTAAAACTGTGATTTTGTTTCTCCCCCCCCCACAAAAAAAAAAGGCCCGGTTATCCTGAAACTCCCAAGACCTGACATGAACAATGGTTGAATCCAGATGTTGTCTTTTTTTTCTTCCCAAAGAGAAGTGGAGGCACAGCTGTGGTCCCTAAAAGAGATCATTTTACACTTCTCTTGCTAACTCGTCTTTAATGTGACTTTCTGCAGTCCCAATGCTCACGAGACTCTGACTCACCTAAGCAGCTGTAGTTTATCTGCTGCCATTATTAAGACTTGAGCCTATGTTCACAGACCAGCTGAGAAAGATTTCAAATCTAAAATGAACACTCCGTGCTGAATTTTGTTCCCTTTTAGGTTTATTGGTCCCCACCAGACAGTGAAATGTCAATAAGATTTTCTTGTGGCGGGTGTCCAGATGGAGATGCATCCTAGGGCAGTTCCCATGAAGGGTTATTACTGATTATTGATTTGTGTGTTGTTTTGTAAAACTAGTAAAATTCTCAATTCTGAGTTTGTTCCTTTTATTTTTTTTATTATAGTTTTTTTTAAGTAAGCACAAGCCTGGAGAGTTTCCTGTGTTTTCTGGATACTTGTCTATTTACATTATAAAGAAACCTAACCCTTTTTGTGCTAACCCTGATTTTTCTCATGTGTTTCAGAGTAAAAAGGCTCATATACCGTACAGAGACAGCAAGCTGACGCGGATACTTAAAGACTCCTTGGGAGGCAACTGCAGGACGGTTATGATTGCCAATGTTAGCCCCTCTTCCAAATCATATGATGACACCCATAATACCCTAAAGTATGCCAACAGGGCTAAGGAGATCAAGTCCTCGGTTAGTGTTCAAGTCATATTGTGTTATGGTCACCAGTTGTAATCCTAGCTGTGATTCTTGGACCATAAATATACAAAATGACATTATATCAGCCATCCGTTTTTCTCTCTACCTTTACCCGACAGCTGAAGAGTAATGTTGTCAGCTTGGACAGTCATATTGGCCAGTATGCTGTGGTCTGTGAGAAGCAGCGGCAAGAGGTAAGACAAAATAACAAACAGGACAACTAATTACTTTGTATTTGGACAATCGGACATGGACATGATAAGTCCTGACTGATATCAATGTTCTATTTAATCCCTAAAGATCATGCAGTTGAAGCAGAAACTAAAAGAATATGAGACGAAGAGCACGGGGGCTGGGGCTTTTAGCACAATCTCTTCCCAGAAGCAAGAAGAGTTCAAAAGGTAAGCAAGTCCATGAGCGTGACTCAGAGTGTAACTTGTTACTTTATGTTTCATAGCCACTTTTATTGTAAAGCGTGTAACTGGAATGAAGACAATGATTCAGGCAGAGAGCTTGTGGCCTGCATTTGCTAATGTATCGGACAATAATGACGCATTATGTGGTTTTGTAAATGGTTCTGGTGGCTGTAGATCCATTAGATTCTATAAAGAAGTGGAACAGGGAACGTAAGGTGTAATTGGGTGTAGTGGGTCAGGTTGTATAATCAAGAATGATATCCCAATTTACAGCATTTTTAATGTGGCCCTTTCTCTTTGTTCATTGGCATTTGTGGTAGATTAAATATTATGAAATTAGCTTTTACCAATGAGCCTTTTATTAAATCTGCTCAGCAGCTTGAGAATATATTGAGCTGCTTGATCCAAGATTTATACTAAAACCATCACTTGATGGAATAAAATGAGGTCAGTGGCATAAATATGCTATCTTGAATTGGTATGCATCGTACAAAGCCTTTATATGAGTTGCTAGATCTGCGTTATTTAATGTTTACATTCACTCAACTTTTAATCAGCGTTGGCTCCAAACTTATTGACAGCCTGTCAAAGAAGTCTCCAAGGAGGCATTCTGAAAACTTTGCAGACAGCACCCCACAATTCAAAAACCAACGTGGCGTGTTATTTAAAAACAGCATGAGGATGTTCCAGTTTTTGTGTTTAACGAGTCTGGCTTTGAGTGTGGGCATATTTCAGTATCTTTGATCTAATAGACAAATATAATAGCAGGCATGTTCAGCCATAACCCTGATGCCTTTGGCCTCTTTGAGTAGCTATAAAGTCTCCTCTGTGTTCAAAATGAAACCATGGTATTATTATTATAGACTTGTGAAATTTATTGCTCAGGACATGAGACTCATCACTGTTATTCTCCCATAGGGTGCAGTTCTAGTTTAAGAAGTCTTCTAGAAATGATGGTGCATGCTGGTTGTTATTTTATTATTTAATAAATAATAATAACATATTTTGTTTATTAGGCTATTAGGGCGGGCAGGTGTAGTGTACTCAGATGGGTTTAGCTAATCTAGAACTTTAAAAACAAAGCAAACCACCAAAAAAACAACTTTAAATAGCACACAGCATTGTTCAAAGATGAGGTATGAGTTAAGGTGACCACATCCCTACTAAATAGGCTTTTAAATGACATGTAACGAGGATGGTCATTTCCACCTCCATGTGGGTTTTTTTTTTTTCCCTTGGACTCTACTAGAGTAGTTTTGTATCACCTACAGGCCTCCCTTTAAGCTCACTGTCTTCTGATTGGCTACTCCTGTCAAACAGAAGATTTTAACAATAGATAGGGATTCAGGTGCTCATAGTCAGGTAGGTGGGATGACCGTATGAAGGAAGCTCTTTTTGATGTCAGAAATATCTAGGAGTAGAAAAAATGTGAAACAATTATTAGTCTGAAGCCTGAGCTTTTTATTAACGGATTGCTTGCACATGCACTGACTTTGGCCATACACCATTAGCTCCACTTTAAAGACAGCCACATTACAAAAGGTACCTTTGAACACCAGACCTCAGAATCACAGTTCTGCATGAACAGTCGAGCAGTTTTTATGTAGCTGTTGTCTTGCGCCCTGTTTTGCTCTGTGTATTTTCTGATAATCAATCTGGAGCCGATTAAGAAAAGTGGTGTTTAGTGGTGAGACATCCCTATCACTGTCACCTTTCTCCAGTACTTCCGGAGGGTTTCTCAAGGCATTCCCAGTCCAAACAAGATTGTCTAGAATTCCTAAAGCTTTGTTCGGGTTTGCCTTTGGATTTAATCGGAGGCCCTAACAACCTCCACAGGCCCCTTTTTTAAGGAAAAGTGGCTGGTATTTAACTGCAGATGCATTCTGAATGTCTCCACCCCTCATCCCATTCTTAAAGGAAGAACCATGTGACGAAAACTCCTTCTGGCACTTTGCATCTGTAATATCATTCATAGTGTCAGCACGTGGAGCTCCTGACAGTCAATTGCAAGACTCATGTTACTTTATCTAACATACTAGTCTACCTGCCAGTCTCCCAAGCAAAATTCACCTCAGTGATAAACAAGAAGTAAAGATATTTGATTTCCTTCTTTTGGAGAGAAGCAAGTAGTTCCTAAATAAATCTGTGCTGTATATATTTTCCTAGCAGATTGTAGAGGAACACACCCGAACTACTGTGAATGAAGCTAGTAAAATCCACATTTTAATTGTCTTTCAACGGTCACCAGTGACAATTTGTGAAATGATACAGGATGGATTTGTGACGGCAGAAAGTCTATGAAGAGCTTGTCCTCAAGTTTTTCCTAAATATTATCCCAAAGCTTAAATGCACTCTTAAACCAGGAGTGGCACTTTTCATGTATCGCACATGAAACTGTTGCTAAAATAGGAGCAAAGTGACTTTGTTTGGCCCAAGGCAATCCTACACGCTTTGTATGCCGACATAATGTTGGTGTGCAGTGGCAAACACTAGCTGCTGTTTATTTATTTGTATGTGCCTCCATGCGTATATAATCACACATAGGCCTTTAACAGAGTTTTTGAAAGCTGACCTGTCCACAATGTACTGAAAACAAAGTGTGTGAGCCAATGATAGCAGTCCTGCTAAATTTCTAATGAAATGAGTCCAGCCCACCTTGTTTCCCTGATCATTTTTACTTTTAAGCAGCTTGTTTTGTTACTCCCATGAAATGCTGTCCCTTGAAATCTGCGCTTAGGCCTCCTGGAAAACTGTTACTTCCTGGAAAACAGCGCGTCTTCAGTGATGACCTCATGCTGCACTAGTGGGTATAACAAGTCCCATTAAAAAAACATTCCACCCAAATAGCCTTTTTTTCCCTCCTCTTTACTGATATACCACTGGTTTAATTGTTGGGATTAAATGTGTAATGTCTAATGTATAGTGTAGGAAATGCATCAGAAAAAGACACAAATACACTTTCTCACAGCATTTAGAGAGAGTTCTTTATTTATTTTTATGGGCTTTTCCCCCCTTTGGATTAAATCTGCAATATTGTACTAGCAGATACAAGCAAATTTAACATCTGCAACATTTCCTTGTGATTATTTACCTTTACTCATCCCTGAGCTACACTCAGTGCAAAGGATATGCATTTTAATAATAATAATAATAATAATAATAATAATAATAATAATAATAATAATAGTGATTGACAGTGTGACAGCAATTAACTGAACTTTCAAAAGAGAGCAGAATAAGTAAAGGGCTCACTTGGCTCTACATTTAAAGTAACTAACTAAATATTTGTTATTATGTGAATTACGATTATTTCTATGCAGACATTTTATCTGTCGGGATTTGAAACTTTTGGCACTGGACAGTTTTGTATTCTGAAACACGGATAAAATGACACAAATATGCAGTTAGTTGGTGTCTCCTGGGACCAAGTTATGCTAGCGCTGATTAAAATTGCTATAATCCACATTAGATAGATTTCTTCTTTAATCTTGAGTCTCGAATGACAGCCGTGCCTCCAAAGCCTTTTTTTAAATGAAATTATATATGCACATTTATTTATTTTAATTTGGAAAAAAAAAATCACATCATCACCATCATTGCATCTAGTAATCTTTCAGGCATTAAGCGGCATCTGTTGGGGTACTTGAGTTAGGGGTAGGGAGGGGGGCAAGGAAAAGCTGAATGAGTCTCACTCCCACACATTTCATTCACTGGCATCAGAATTCACAACTCGCACAGTGAGAGGCTCTGAATAGAGGCTGCACGCTTCTCACACTATTAAAAATTCAGCAGTCTAGCAAGGCCACGACGTCTCCTACGTCACTGGAGTTGCATTGAAGAGTGCAGTCACATTTCAGCGACAGCTCTCCAGCCTTATTTACCTGCATACCTCTGCTATCTCTCCTCCTGAACTAGACATCCCTTTGAATCCAACCTGGACATCACCTCAGCTCTAGTCCAGGAAGAAGCTAAGAATATCTTACGGTCGCAGTGCAAACAGAAGTGGCATGTTGTGAAAGTTAATGATTCGTTTTAACATTATAAGAGATGGCAGTCATCAGATCATATACTTTCATACTTTATTAGCTCTATTACTGCATTTGCTAATGTATCGGACAATAATGACGCAGATTAGATGTGTTGTGAAAATATTACATATCTCGTGGCCTTTTAAGGAGCTATTAGAAACTTTTAAGATCTTTTGGCACTGCAATGTATTGATAGATTGATAGATTTGCCCCTTTACATGTTGCACACACAGCAGCTATTAATCACATTTGGCTCCAAACCCTGTGGTGGTGTTGTTTTATTGCACTGGATTATACTAAGAAGTGTTTCTAATATTTTGCCCCCATTCGTCTATGTGAATCGGAGGGAACCAAAGCAACTTGCAGTGTAATATTTTCCCGAAGCTGCAGCGCCACAGCCTCAAAAATCACGAGCGTCTCTTTGACATTACCAGCAAAACTGAAACCTTTTAGCTTCACACTTGCATTGCAAGCTGTTATCACTCCTGTTATTGATTTTTTTTTCTTTTTCTTTTAAAGGGCAAATCCACATTTGCCCATTAAAAGTATACATTTGTTTATATAGGTTTGTCGGATGATTGAATGAGGGAGACTGACCTGCTCTGACTTTATGTAATTACACACCGAGTGGGTCAATTCATATTGCTTTTAAAAAAAAAAAAAGTTTGGCATTTTAAGGCGAAGCTTCTAATGAAAAAGTCTCTGTCTCCAGGGTGTCAGAAACGCTGCGGCGAATCTTCTCGAGCCAAGCCCAAATCAGGCAAGAACAGCTGGATTTGGAGAGACAGCTGAAGGAGAATGAGCTGCGCCAGCGCTACAGCGAGGAGGACAACCTGCAGGTCCAATACCTCTGTGCCAAGGAAAAGACTGAGAAGGTAACTGATGCTTACTCTGCTATCCACAGTTTTCATCATCCCTGCAGAAAAACAGCTGCTGACTCATCGTTTCACTTCTCCGCTCCCTGTAGTTGTCTCAGTCTCTCATTTACGCCACTACGGGAAAGGGTCACTGCTCATCAGTCCCCGGCTCTTTTCTGTCATGTGTGTGTGTCCCAGTGTTAGTCTCAGCTGTGATAGCATTTAAAATAGAAAAGAGAATTCTTAAGAAGTGTTTAGTACCACACCTGTGTACTTGACTATGTGCGTATGTTTTTAGTCTTTTATTTTATTCAAATTGTTGACCCAACTTGTTTCCGACATTGGCTCAAAACCAGAAAACCCCAAAAAAACAGCTTGTTCGCAGCTGTAATTATTCAGACCACGAACACAGTTAATGGTGTGTAATTCTAATACGAGCATAACACAATGCATGTTACCGTTTGATGTTTTTTTCAACAGGCCACTTGTAAGCACGAGCGGAAGATTGCCAGCTTACGGACTCAGCAGCAACACATTTGCAAGCGTTTGAAGGAGGCAGAAACGCGTTTCCTGGAAAACGACGGCTGGCTTCACCGCGTCGAGAACGAGATTAGGTTGTTGAAGTCAAACAATCAAACCTCAGAGGTAAGTTGAACTCGTTGGCCCGTTCAGGTTTTTTTTGGTTCTTTTTTTGGGGGGGGGGTTGGTTTTTAACTGGCGGTACGACCAGAGCGATTCACTGGCAAACATGAATCAACTTCTATCCTCCTTTAATTTTTTTATTTTTTAAGTATTTCTGATCACATTACGCAATCAAGATTGTTAATACTTGTCAGTCTTTGATCAGTAGATCAGTAGAGCCAAATAGTAAGTAACACTACCTACATTACATAACTTGGAAGACAAGTGAGCACGATTATATGAAGAGAAAAACTTTACAATGTGGGTTACATCCGTCAAAACTCACTGCTTGGTGTTTTTTGTTTGTTTATTTTGGAAGGTGGGCTGTGTCTCTACTGGTGTCGTGACTGTCTTTGTTTTCTTCCCATCTGTTCTCCCAGTAATTAGAACCGTGCTCATTTTATTTCTCTAGCTCACTCGTGGATCACTGAAGAGAATAAATCAATACCCTTTACTCATCCCTCACACAGCAGCCAGTTACCTAAAACCATGTCCATGTTATTTTTTTTCTGCTTTATCCTTTCTTCCAGGAACTGACCCAGAACTATGACGCATCCACCTGGTCAAATGTTCTCTCTGCTGTTGTTTCGTAGTTTCTTTACGTCAGAGTTCCCTTTTTTTTTTTTTTTTATTCCCCATCTTTTTCCCCTCCCGTTCCTTACCCCGAGTTGACAGCTTTTCTGGTGAAACATGGATGAACTTTGTGTCTTTTCCCTAGTATCCTAACCCCCCTGCCATCTTTTTTTTCTTAGTTCTTCTTCTTTTTTCTTCTTCTAATTCTGCCCTCCAGAGTACTTATGTTAGAATGGCTGTTGAGTTGTCACTTCTGCTGTCTGACCTCAATTCTCCCCTTGGTTTAGGTGTTAGAGAAGGAGCTACACTGCCACAGATTGGAGCTGCAGGTAAATGATCTCAAACAACACATCAAGCAGATGGTCAAGCTCACCAATCTGCAGGATCAGGAGAACAAGCGCATGCAAAAGTAGGTTGGGCCAGAGTGAATTCACTCTGAATTAAGTGAACTCTTACTGCGGCGCACCCAGAGAAGTTTGAACGATCGTTTTCCTGCTTCTTTTCAGAATGGTGAACATCTTGCTGCCAGCTTATAGTCGGCATTATTCTGCGCTGCGTGGAGCCGGGCTGACCACAGAAGCTGACGAGACGGACAACCAAGAACTCGAACACCTTGTGCTGAGGGAGAGGGGCGTGGTCTGGGCTGACCAGGAAGGGGCGGGGCCGCAGCAGAAAGGTGGAGGGATTTGTGTGGAGTCACAGGAGACAAATGAGGCAGGAAAAATTGGACTCCGCAGCGAGCTGGCACCTGTCCTCTCTTTCACACATCTGCAATACCACCAGAATAGCCCCTGCAGTAAGTCATCACACTTTTACCACCCTATTCACTCTTTGGCTACTAGGTTGCATACGTGAAGAGGAGGGCATGTAATGCTAATGACCATTAAATATGTTTGTATTTAGTTCACCAGGGAATACAGAAATTATGAACAGCACAAAATCCAGTTGGAGAAATAAGGGGAGATACATTTACCCAGTTCTTCAGGTGTATTTGACAATCTCACTTCTGCCAGAAGCAATCAAAGAGAGCAAGAGAGAAATAAAGAGAAGGGTTTTGATGCTAAATGAGCATGTGTCAGTCATTTATGGGAGGAAAAGTTTTGTGTTATGAAAAGGAAGCTTCTAGGTTTTTTCATCCACATCTTGTTTGTAATTACCACAGCATCCCTTCAGTAAATCCATACAGGAGTTTTTTTTCTTTTCTTTTTTATGCCAGAAGAGTGTTGGGGTGTCTCAAGCTGGATTTACACTAATCAATCAAATAGCCAGTATCAGTTTATTGACTTAAGATACTAAGGTAAGTGCGGACATGTAACATCTGTGTGAAAGGTTTCCAGTTCAGTGCGTATCATTATATGAATACTAACCTTTAAAGAATTCAGTATATTGTGATTTTTAACGTAACATTGTCATTATTTAGTGTAACACATTTTGAAAAGGGGATGTAAGGTTCACATATGTTAATGCTTATCCCGTACCTCCCCAGTTTGTCTTACAATTGAGCGTATCCAGTGTTCGGATCACAAGTTCTTCTGACACCAAGTCTACATGTGTGACACCTAGAAGCAAGTTTTTATTACAGCATTAAATATAAAAATTCAGTTGTGCTATAAGGTAGTTTGGTAAGGAGGAGTGTTTATGGCATTAGTCCAGGTCTATTGTGTATGGCGGGACCCACAAGACGGCACAGTTCATTTTTAACTGTCATCTCTGCATGACCTAGCAGCACCAGGCCCTCGTGACATATAAGCCATGACAGACAGTGGAGCATGAACTGAAGCCAGCCAACAATATTCACTTACTTTGATGGTTGTCTGTTGTTTGTCATGCAGTAAATTTTGACTTGGCTGTCTGCACCGCTGCTTGCATTTTCAGTATCGTATTACTTTTCGTTTTTGGTGACTTTTAATGAAATACACCGACAGTAAAAGGAGGAATCCGATCACTCGTGAATAGCGGCGTTGCAGCCTCTCTCGGGTTATAGTTTCGGTTGTAAATGATTATTAGGTGTTTTTGTACACACGCCAAAACACTTGAAGTTGTTCTTTGGGGAATTCATTATGAATAAAAGTTGGAGGTTTATGCCGCTATTGTTTTCCTGACTTCACATCTCTGCCACATTTGTGCATCATGCATTGGCTTTGACAAAGTTGTTGTTGTTAAAATGTTGTTTTTCCTGCACATTTTACGTTAGCCAGATTGCCTTTTTTTTTTTTCCATGATAGAATCACGATTTGTTACTGACTGAACATCTGCGCTGCCTTCACAGAGAAAATTGGATAAGAAGCGCTCACAAATGTTTCACCTTCGTATTCTTCTTTGTCACGAATGCATTCAGTGAATCATCTCTCTCAATTTTAAAATATATATCCATGTGATTTTACCAAAAAACTTGTGAAAATGTTACATTGTATGAAAAGAAAATTGATCCTTTAGTGTTTTAATGACACTTGAAAGTTTTATTCTCAGGCTCAGAGAGGCACGTGAAAAGATTGTGCAATCCTTCTCCATCACCAAAAGGTAAGTCAGCTCTGCTCTCTGGTTGGTAATTACTCTAAAGCCCCTGCGTACTTGTTAATCCTACTCACCTTTAGTCATTCACCTATTTGTGCTCCCCCTCATCACCTTTTTACCATCAATTACTCAAACATAAATTAACAGACAGTTTTATTTATAACGGAAGCAGAAACCAGTTCGTAAAGTGTTTGGTTTTTTAGTTTTTTTGTTTTTTTTTAATTAATTACCATGTAAACTGGAAATTGATGTGTTCGCCTTCATTTCTACCTTGCTGTGTTTTATTTACCAGACATGTTTTTAGCCGTTTAGCTGTGAAGAACTTGTTCAGAGCCGTAAAATACACAATAAAAATCAGACACGTAATATAATGTGATTTATAGTTGCGCCGCTGACCCTCTGTCCCGGCCAAAAGTTGAATAATGAAATGAGGTGAATGCTCACAAGCTGTTTTCTAGAGGGAACTCTGTACATGCAGAGCCTTTAGGGGAAAGTCACACAAAAATCTTTGTGAAATATGGCTGTTCAAATTGCCTGTAATGATATTTACTGCAGGTGGTCTACATTTCATTGAAACTTATTGTGGGAAATGTTACGTCTGAAGAAAATACTTCTGCCAGATGACCAGAGTTTCTTGAATGGAAATGAAATATGGAGGCATCAGGGAGTTTGTCACCACCTCTATTAAATTTCCCTGCAATATATTGTAATAAGCGAGCTCTGATAGCGCACCGACTTGTTTTTCTGATATAAAAAGCTCCACTCTCTGCATGGTCTGTCTGACCATGACTAGTCTTTATACTTTGCTGGTCAAACAAGGTTTTATTGTTCTTTTTTCCATTTGCTCTTATTAGTTCCACATAGCAGCACCTTTTCCTGGACTAATGTCTGCACACATGCTGCATTTGTTTGACTTAAATGGATAACCTTTGCCTTTTAATGCTTTGTTAGACACAACCAGAAAACTGTGGGTACATCTAATGGAAAAACTCCAATGGATACGGTTATCTTTCTTAATTGACCATATAACGATGCACATAGCAATGAACAAAAAACAGGAATTTTAGGTACATTAAAGTATCTCGAACCACTAAAGTCACTAATCCGTCAGTGCATACTCGCCAGATCCTTTGGGGCGTGGCTTGTTCTGGTGCATTACACAAACGGCCGATGGGATCAGGGTTTCGGGAGTCCCAGAGAATACTTGGACACTGTGTTGCATGTCTTTGGCTTTTCCTGATGTGGCAGGCTGTATTATTTTCCAGTACGCAGCGGTCATCTGGGAGCGTCGCTGCAAAGGGAGGGGATTGAGCTGGGCCTGCAGCAGTGTTTGGTTTGGTCCACCAAGTAGTAACCTCTGAGGCAGAAAATGTGAACAAGAACACAATCATAGTAACAGATACAGGAAGTTTTTAGACTTAACCTCGAGTACTGCGAGTTAGTAAAATGGACGTCACTGCTGTGTTTGTGTCTTTCTGAAGAATTTTAGTAGTAGCCAAGTAATGTTATGGCTTACATCCATCCACTAAAAGCAGCATCAACCTCAAAACCCAGGTTTCTCAGCAGGACATTGCTTTGTGAAGAGATGATCATTGGGCTCCACATCACCTGCCAGTGGATTTAATGTTCTGACCGACAAGTAGAGGTGTGCATGCAAGCCTTTTTGAGACTACCAACAGCTTGATTAGCACCACTCATATGACACATCATATGAGTGGTGTAATTTGGGTGCTTAGTAACTGCATCACTATTTTTCTTTCATTTGTATCATGTACAGTTTGCAATTTCATCTGGGTTAACTTGCACTCACTGACGCACACTTGCATCCTTCAAAAACAACTCTGCCCATCTTGGATTCAATCCAGAGGCAATAGTCGTACATGCATGTCATATATGCACACAGACACACACACACGTGTTATATACACACAAGCGCTGCAGTGTTAATCAGCTGTGCAAAAAACATTTTTCCAGTTTACTAACATAATGATACAGAGATGAAATGGTACAGGTTTTTAAGTTAAGGTGGCTTATTTTTAGCATTCAGACATAGCGCTCTGATCTTCTCATGGTGCTGTTTGTCAGTCCCTCACTGCTTCCTCGGCTCTTAATGGAAGTCACTGCAGCATGTTAAGAAAAATAGCTCCACCCTGCAGCTTGCAAAGCCAATCAAATTTCATCGGTTTTAGAGAGGGTTGTGGTTTCAAAGGAGCGTTAACTCTTTGTGGAGTGCTTTATAGCAGCAATTTACACAAACGTGATCACAGTAAAAGAGACTTTCAGCCTTTTACTGTTAATAATTATAAGACCACAGATGCATTTATTAATAGTAATGTGATTTTTCATTCAGCTATCTCCCACTGCCTCCCACAGGCTGTTCTTTTTATATCTTTCTGTTCGATCTTGTTTCTAAATTCTCCCATCTACTCTTTTTTTTTTTTTTTTTTTACCCCACCCGTTAGATCCTTTCTTCTTCAAACATCTTTCAGTGTGCCCCCTCCCTCCATTCTACCTTTCTTTCCCTCCTACCCTCAAATGTTTTTCTGTGTCTGTCTAGCATCTAACCCTCCCAATCCCTCTTGAGCTTCATTCATGAAAATGCAGATCCACAGCAGGGCAGGAAAAAACGTCAACAGACGTAAACTCCCCTGCTCCACCAACCAGAAAAGGCGCACTATAAAAAACAGGCAGCAGCAACCAGGCGACCCTAATTCAGTGCAGCCTCCACCAGAAATAGCAACTCATGCATGTATTAATCCCCTACAAGCCAAAAATATGTGATTGAAGGAACTCTGCTGCCATTTATTGCTGGGGACAACTTCAGCCACAGGAAAGGTCTATTTATCACCGTTTCCTCACTCTGTGTGGTGTCTGAAGTCTGACTCACATTTGCTAAATATTGCATTTGATATTTAGGGGAATGTATAAATCAGTCATTCACCTTTGCATTTAGTGTTCTCGCTTCCTTTATGTGCTGGCTTCTTTCCCTTTTAGCCTCCTCCCTCACCACTACCACACTGCTACAGGAAATGCCATGAGTGTAACTACTGCTAATGGGATGCAGACACCTTGATTTAACCTCATTCTGCGATGGAGCCTGTAAAAGTTTTTGTTCTTGCTGCTGTGTTTAAATGCACCACTGCAACATGGATATACATCAATGTGACAAAAACGTGCTTCAGAAAATATCATCTGTATAAACATACTTGATATAAAATAATATACAATTATTTTATATAATGGGGGGGGGGGTGACCATATTTGGATAAAAAGGTGGACCATATTTGGATATTTAGTCGAATTCACATCAGCATTCATTTCAAGGTTGAGTTTCAGAGTGAATGAAGTACTACACAATAATGGTTAATATAACAGCAAGTAACCCCCTGAAACAACTCACTAACTGGTCAGGGATTGCGCTTTTTTCTCCCTAAACAGTCTCTAGGCCCATATTGACTGAGGTTTTAGGAGTCACTCTGCCAGCGAGCACCATCAGCCATCCTTGGAGGGCTAATTTCTGGTTGATCTAAACCCAATTGACCAGAATCTGACACATTTAACCCTTCTTATTAACTAAGTATCATACAGGCCACTTCAACTGTTAGGAAGAACCTAATGGGCTTTCACCCAAATTGTGTTCAAGGTGAGGTCATTGTCATACTTTCTGACAAGAATCAGTACTCCTCTTCGAGCATTGGTCAGGTTTTCTCATAAAATACTACACGTTTTCTCAGAATGTAACCTTAAATCAATTTGTTAAAAACAAAGCAGAGCAACACCAGCAGTTGTAGCTACTGTTATGTGTTTAAGATCCACGTTTTTAATAACAATGCACGCCTCAGTTTTGACTTTGTAGAGTTAATGTTTACAAGGTGGGAACTGTGCATAATGGCTCCAACACCAGTGATCACATTTTTAGTGTAACTTAAGGGAACGGACTAATTCCTCTGTTGTGACATTATTTAAATTGCACTCTTTAGCTCAGGGCTTACTCTTAAGTGCGTATAACTGATAGAGTATTGGGGACTGCATCATTTGGGAAGAAATGTGTTTACCGTTAAAATGGTTTAATTTGCTTTCACTTCCAAGGCCCGCAGTTGTGAGGAACACATTGATAAGAAAGGTCGAAATAATGTCAGCTTATTAGTTGTTGCCAGTCATTTCTCAAGGACCAAATGTGGGGCAGGCCACAGGCTTGAATTATTGTCTAAGAAGTGATACAAAGGTCTATTGACAAAACAGTCAACAAACACAGTAATCGTCAAAGGTACACTCAGTTGCTAAGTGTCGATCAAGTCCATACGGGGGGATAACCTTTCCGTGCGCTTCCACGTGTGGAAAATGGTCGAATGACGCTGCAAAATGTTCTGTTCTAAAATATAAATAACCTATTGCAGAGGTGGTTTTAATACTGTTAGCAAACATTGTAGTCACGGAATAAAATGGGGACATTGCTGACATACATCCTCTTCCATCATGTGACCTGCTGACAACACATACGGCATCTGGAGCAATAAACTCTGGATACACAGTGTGTGCATAGGAAATGAATTCAGGAAACAGGAAGCAGTATACAGGGGCATTCCACTTTAATTTTTTCCACTTTCTCAGTCCAGGTTTGACCATCTGTGACTGTTCAAATATTAGTTTTTTTGATAAGAATCCATATATAAAATGGGTTGGTCCTAACAGTCATTGAAATGGGTTGGTCTCAACAATTTTGAGAAATGCTTTGTAAAAAAAAATGGACCAAATAAGCAACAAAGTTAAAGTTTATTTTAATTATTTTCATTAAGAGTTCCAACAGTTTTTTGAAAAAAATCAATCTGCTTTCAAAGGGCTGTGTGGGTGTGTTTTGATTAGCACTGACAATGCCATGCATAAGCAACCAACCCGCAGTTTTCATCAGAATCTGATCAGATATTTTCTGAGTTGATAGATTGATACAACACGCCTTTTTGTTTTCTTTACTGAGTCTGGGCGCTTTTAAAGATATCAAAAAAGATATCAGTAAAACAGAAAAAACAAATATATAAATAATTAGATTTGTTTTAAGAAAATGTTAGACCCCTGATAAAAATAAGAGCAGCCATTATCTTTCCTGTTGGTGGGAAAAAGGTTGTTTATTATTGTGTCTTCTGATTTGGACTGATTTTACTGCTGCTGTTTGGTTTTCCAGGCAAAGGAAATCAAACAGATGTGGCACAGGAATCACTTCCCAGAATGCCCATCAGGAGAAATTTATCTGCGTTACTCCCACCGCAAAGCCCCCGCACAGTTGCTGTTAGCCAAGAATTTGAGGAGGACATGTTTCCTCTCCAGTGCACGCCAGAACCATGTCAAAAAACCACCCAGGCCCAGCTGCCAAGCTCCTCCAGTGCCATCGATCCAAACATGACCTTTGAAGTTACAGACAATGAAGACCAAGCTGCAAGTAACGCAACCATCATAATAAGCAGCAGTAGTCCGTGTCAAGCATCAACGTCCACAGACGTCTCGGGTCAACCTAACAAAGCCATGGAGGGGAATCAGATGACCACCAAACGGTAAAATAAAAAAACAAAAAAACTTAATTTTAACTGCAAATGTTTGTTTCAGCTGTTATCTATGCTTTCAGTGAGTGTATCTTACAGTAGAGCTTAATTTTTTATTGTATAAGACAGCAAAACAACTTCAGCATTCGTGCTATGGCAACTCCCTGGTGCAACATTTCCACATTAGGTTTTTGCACAGTTTGCACACGATTTCTCTTGCTAGTCTTGAGAGAGAGCTGAAAAAATACTTGATCTATAACCCCTTTATTCATCCACCAAACAGGTTTTCTCAACACGAGCTGGTAATGTTACAAAAACAGAAGCAGAAGCACAGTGGGTTAAACTGTATGAGTCAGACTCTTAACAGAATTAGTTAAACAAATTACATGTTTAAAAGCTGGTTTAGAAGTACTAATGCAGCCTTTTAATTCTTTCCACAAGATCTTTAAAATCATCCACTAAATGTTTCAAAGCACACGGTAACTAAACCACCCACAACTGGTAAATCCTTCAAACTTTAATCAAAACAAGATGGAGAGTAGAGTTATTCTCACCAGCACCAAGTCTTCAGAGTGGAACATTGGGCAAAGAGGCTTAAGTCAACTGAGCTGAGCAGTGACCTTGTGTCTTCGGCTGGAAGTGCCAAACAAAATGAGAATCGTTCTTATTTGTTGGATAAATTTGTTCCTGACCAACCTCAAAAGCAAAACGCATCACCTCAAACAATGAAATGGCTCCACAAACAATCTGCCTGGTTTCAAAACATCTTCACTACAGCACAAATACACTGCATCATGACAAGCTGCTCTTTCCTCAAATAATAAATATCATTGCTAATCCAGCCTTTAAGAGAGCACTTACCCTCCAGCTGCTGCTTGTCCAGAAACCTCAAAGGAAAATGACAGCAAGAAAAACAGGCAAACTAGATGGAGGAAAAAGACGAGAGCTTTACGTATGGTTAATGGAACATCCACAATTAATTTGCCATGTATGAACACCTTAATAAAAGCAGCACATTCTGGTATGCATTAACACAACATCACAATCTTCCCAGCTGCAGACCTCGTTGTAAATTCACCCCAACGTCAGACTGTGCAGTGTTTAGTAAAACTGCTAGATGTCAGACTCTACAGGCCTCAGTTAGCATGTTAGATGTTAAAGATCACAACAGTACAATTAGAAAAAGACTGAACAAATATTACTTGTTTGACCAGAACAAACCACAAGGCTTGTGGAACAATGTCCTTAGAACAGCTGAGACAAAGTGGCGAACTTTGACCATTATGCAGAAAGCTATATTTGGCGAAAAACAAACACAGCATATTGGCACAGACACCTCGTACCAGCTGGCAAGCATGGAGGGGTGATGATTTGGGTTTGTTTTAAAGCCACACGACCTGTTCACCTTGCAGTCACTGAGTCAACCATGAACTTCGAAGTATTCTTGAGTCAAATGTAAGGACATCTATGTCAGCTAAAGCTTGGCCAAACTGGGTTAAGCAACGGGACAATGATCCCAAGCACAACAGCAAATCTCCAACAGAATGACTGAAAAGGAAAAATCACGGTGTCGCAACGGCCCAGTCAAAGTCCAGACCTCAACCTGAAATGATGCAAAAAGACCCTAAGAGAGCTGTGCATAAATGAAAATCTGCAAACCTCAATGAACTGAAGTGATGTCGTAAAGAAAAAGAAAGATCCGTTTGCCACAAGATTACAGAGTCCTGTTTAAAAAATGAGCCACACCCAACCAAAAATCATTGATTTACTGTTGAAGATGAGGTAGGATGCTCATTTTGCATAAGCCAACTTTATGACAGCAAAGTTGGTATATCCAAATTCTGATTGCATGCACACCAGATATCAAGCTGAGAAATACACAACAAAAATTAAGATAGGTGAGGTGGATTTGAAGGGAAATGTGCCAAACAGTGAAGTCCAAATAGCAGACATGTCATGTAACATGAACCTTTGCTCTACAGACAACAGATCGCACCGCTCCAAGAAGCAAGACGCACCAACCCGACCTACATGAGTATGACGTCTGCTGCACAAGGGAAGCGAAAGTTTAACTGGTAATGTACCTCTCTGTGTTTTTGGCCAATTAAGCTCTTAAAGCTGTTTAAAATTGCCACAAAAGTGACAACTTAACAGACATTTCTGACAGGACAGTGCTGAGTTTCTGGCCCTGATTACGTTTTCTGTTTTTCTTTCGTTTTTTTTCTCTCTTTTTTGTTTTTTTGTGCTGTAGCAGCTTCAGAGAAGAGTTAACACATGCAGCAAAGCGCGTAAAGAAAGATTCCTTGGTGGCCCAGAGGCCACTCAGAGTGCATCGTTTTGTTGGTAAGTGTCAAAACAGGACATGCACAAACACACATTGTAAAGCCAGAACATTGAATGCCTGACCCAGCAAATGGTCACAGTGTATATTGACACCAGATATTGCTTTGAAAGACCAAACGCATTTATTGACTTGTGCATCTCTCTCATAACTCCAGAATTAATTCTGCTCTACATGTGAACCAGAAGGATGCTTTGATTTCATCACATTACATATGAATTTAGTGATCAGTAACCGAATGCTACTGAGATCCATCGGGAATAGAGGAGTACAGTTTTATTTATTCTTGACCATATCGTCTGTTTGGTGTTTCTTCCTCAGGTTCAGAGAACAAGCCTCGGAGAGTTGTGAGGAGCGTTTCTGAAGGATATCTTAACCTCATTGAACCGCAGAAACCCAAGTCCATTTTCTATAAAACATCTCAGCAGCTGAAACGAGTGGCTAAACGCATGTGAGGCAGCACTGAGCTCAAGTCATATTGCCTATAAAAACACTTTCGACCCCGCGCCTTTTCCATCCTCATTGGTGTTTTTAGAAGATCTTTTTTTTTCTCCAAAGCTTAGAAGAAAGTGCTCAATCGTGCAGAAATGCTAAATGTAATTGGATAAAAGTTCTACTGAGTCACGTTTTATTTCCTTACAGCCTTGCACTGAAGTGAACTTTCACTTGTACATAAGCATTGTATGGGCAGTTGTAGAATATTCAGATTATTCTTGATTTGTATTAGTTTGGAGCCTTCCTTTGGATTTTAACCTGTATTATTAAAGTTATGTACACACTAACAGCAAAAAGAAAAAAATGGATAAATCACTGTGTGTCCTGTAGATATTTTTGTGCATTATGTACTTTGATCTATTTTCAAATGGTGATCACCTTTTAGGTGACCACATTAACCAGGGCAGCTAATAACATCGAAACTGCTCGACTCTGAGCTGTTTGTGTTTCTTATTTTTATCCTGTACAGGTAATAACATGGGTTTATAGATATTTCATAATAAAAGTGCTTGTAAGAGAATCTGTGGTTTTTCAATAAAAAGATCCTTTTCACCAAAAAAAGTAAAAAAGAAAGTAATATCTGCTTTTTGTGCCATTGATGCTGCGCGTGAATGTGGTTCTCAATGACGTTTCAGTTACGAGATGTTCCAACACTAAGTAAGTGACATCAGACGGCCTCAGAGAAGGTGAAAAATACAATGGCAGGCAAAATTGAACTGAGCTAGGAGTGAGTCACACATAACTCTTATTGTCTTCCTATAACATTCATATGCTTTTAGGAAAGCATCGCTGGAATCACGATCTCTGTCTTTACAGATGAAAGTACTTTGGTGTTGTGTTTGGGTGTTTTTTGCTCTGTTTGTTTTTTTTGTTTTTGTTTTTGTTTTGTTTTTTTTTTCATTTTTGTTCAATTGCCAAAAATATGTTTAAAAAGAACACATGGAAAAGGGGGCAACTGCCAGACCATTTACAAGTAAATTGTCCTTCAAAGCGTAACACAATAGTCACATTGTTACTGTTTGGGAGTATTGGCTGTAAGGAAGACAATGCACAAAGTTAGGCTGCACTCCAACACCAAGGTAGGCAACTTAATTCAGGCTTCATACAAGTAAGGCAAATATGTCAAAGTGCCTCTCACATGGGGTTTAAGGACCACTTGCAGCAAGATAAGGCATTCAACCATATGCACAGAGAGCACAGAACGGCCCTAGCATGGATTTGAACAAGGGACCTTTGTGCTGTAAGGGTTAGGGTTAAATCACAGGATCAGAGAATTACGTTTCCTTACTGAAGAGGTCTCTCTGGAGCATTTATAAATAAATAAATAAATCTAACAGCTGCAAATAGGCATGTAAAGCAAAGCTGTCTGTAAATGTTGATATATGACTACTTTTTTCTTTCATATTTGGGCCATCAAGCTTTCTGCTTATGTCAATATAGCTGCTGATTTTCTTTATACTGAGCAAAAGATCCCCAGGAGGAGAAACAAATCACTTTGGTGTTGCCTCATACATAAAAAAAAAAAGTCTTTTTCTTATACAGAAGGTATGTTAGAGTGATAGTGGTCAATAAAGGAATCATGGTGGACTGCATTGAAAAGAAAACTACTTATCAGTTTACTGTCATGCACTAATTCATTGTAGGCCTCTCTTTTGTGAAACCAGCTCCCAGTTTGAATTCAGCACAGACACCCTCTCTACTTTTAGGATAAGACTTAAAACTACTTTTTTGATAATGCTTATAGATAAGGTGACCCTGAATTTTCCCTTAGTTACACTGTAATTGAAAATGCAATAGGTTTCTTCTTGACTCACTATTGTTAGTGCTATCAGCATTAATCTCGTTAAAATGACGTTAACGCCATAACCGCATTGACATGGCAGATTTCCGTTAGCGAGTTAACGCGGATTGCCTCGTGCATGGGGCTGCATGGCGCCAATGCGTTAGCGCTGTGCAGCGCCAATGCACTGTAGGCTATTTTCAGCTTGGTTCTGTACTTGGTCATTTTCTCACTTTTTAAAATGATGCACATGTTTTGCAAAACCTGTAAAATCGTTTCCTAAATTGCTTGTGTTTTCTTTATTTGTGTCGAGCTCTCTGGAGCACAGCTCTTTTAAACAGCTACAACTAATGAATAAATTGTTTAGCTAAGAATAACAGATAAATGAGCTTAAAGTCATAAAAAACAAATGGCTGAAATAGATATGTAACAGAGAGACTCAGGATTAAAGTAAAAACAAAACAAGTATCCAACGTTTGTCACACCAGTTTTTTTAAGCTAAATACAGCACAGATATATATATATATATATATATATATATATATATATATTTATTTATTTATTTATTTTAAATTAAGAGGCATACATTGCAATATACTTGAGCATGGTCTTATAAGAAGCTACTTTTTTTTCCTTTTTTTTTTGGAAAGTACTGCTAAACGCCACTTTAAAGTTGTGCCTTGAAGATATTTTGGGCTTCCCTGTGTTACATTTTTAGACTGATGAAATGTGGTGAATCACTGGGAACAGGCTTCTGTTTGAAATCTATACTAAAAACCAAAGACAAAAAAAAACCCCAAAAAACTGCTGGATCTATTATGAGGGTGGGACCTCATTGCTCTGTCTGGAGAGAACTAGACTTGTCACTTTGAATTCAGTCTTGCAACTTTCAGTGGCACAGCATTCGGTGTGATCTTTATTTTTAGCTCAGGAGCTCAATGCATATATCAGCACTGTACTGCGCAAGCACTGACACCCTCTCATGCTCTCATTCACAAGAATCTCTTCATTGTGTGTGTGTGTGTGTGAGAGAGAGAGAGAGAGAGCGTGTGCGCACACAAGGAGGCAGGTTCTGGCTAAAGTTTATTAACTTTCTCTTAGCCAATGGGACGCCTTGTGCGTTTTTCCTGCTGACCAATGGGACAGATTGAGAGGTTGGAGGTGGGTGTTGCTTAGCAACTGCAGGTAGAATCTCAGATCATGTCGGACCCATTGTTTTATCTCGCCTCCCTGAGAGACATTACATGCTATGTGTTGTCATTTGTTAGTAAAAGACACCCCTGTGCAAATGCGTCACAAAGTTGTTAACTCTATTTTTGTTACTGTTAAACAAAGATGGCAGGGACTTTAATAGCATTTTGCCCTCAAGAAGGAGTGCTTTCGTTTCTTTTCTTTCTTTCTTTCTTTTTTTTTTTGATTGATTGCCATCATGTTACCACCAGTACCTGTCTTAGTCTCATCACCAGACTGACTGGAGCACATACAGAGGAATTTAGATTCTTCTCCTTTATTCATTGCTCCTCATTACAGGCATAATAACCTTCAGTGAACCTCATGCAGAGTCAGAGGTGAGTGATTAAAAGCAGACAACAGACAGGGCTGCTCAAAGCAAAGATGCTGGCTGTCCATGAAACATTTGCCTGTGAAGCATTTGCCACATTTAACCTGCAACACCCCCCCCCCCAAGACACCATCTCACACACACAAATCACAGATGCATTTAATATGATCCTTGATACATTTCTGATTGGAAACCTTCTGTCTTGTTTTGGCTGCCATTATATGAGCAGCAGAAAGAGTTGCAGACCACTCAGTATAAAAGCAAACCGTATGATCTCTCCTGCAATGTTCCTGACTCCCACAAGGCCACACGTCACAGCTGTGAACTTTTCGCCCCCTGTCTTATTAGATGACCTGATATCTTAAAGCAATATGTCAGAGTGGAGCGCTGACCACCAGTACTGTCTGTCCTTTTTTGTTTTGTTTTTGTTTGTTTTTTTACCACTAATCTTTTTTTTGGCTTTTGTTTTTCCTCTGTTGGCCCTGAATCACATGGCTGTGACACCTGGGGGGGGGGGCAAGAAAAAAAAGAAACTTTCATTCATTCAATTTTTTTCATTTCTTTTTTTGAGACAAAAACATAGCATAAGAAAAGCACCAAAGGTTTGCGTTTGCTCGTTGGCCCGTCCCGTGATGCCTAATGCAAATATTTAAATGGGGTTTATGGAAATTCCTGGGATGCACCCAGGTTTGGCATGTAAAACAGGGATGTGAACATGGTTGTTTACACCATGCACATTTGTGTCCAGTAAATCCCACTGTGGGAAGCAAAGGAACAGAGATTTAGCAACACAATAAACTCGCCTGTATTGTTTGTTGAAGTGTAGCACATTTGGAGACGTGCTTCGGTTCAAAAGGTGGTTTGGTGTAGTACTCTAGACAAGGTAAGAGTTTATAAATGTATTCATCAGGTGCTCTGAAAATTGTGAGTTTGATCATTTGTTTAGGTTGTTTATCCAAGACTGCACTCTGGCTACTCCAGTGTGAGCATTTAGTGCTCTTCTCTCTTTCATTTGAATGGGTCCTCTTGGTTTAATTGTAGGCACTATTGCACTATTTTAAAACATTTAAGGGACTAAGCAAGTTCATAAACGGAACATTGCGCTGGACACATTACAAAGTGCTGGGGTTTGAGAGCTGCTGATTTTGTTGACTTTGTAAAGCCTGTCGATTGATCATGTTGGAGCACAGAGAGGGTGATGGTGATAAGTGCAGCAGAGATTTATCTGATTTTATTTATATATGGTTATGTGTTTGTAATCTTCGCTGATCACCCAGCAGTTGCAGAACCGTTTCATTTCTGACTGCATTTGATTCAGCCAGCGTATTTTGCGAGGAAAAGAGAGAGAAAAAATATGTGGCAGCAAATATCTGGCTCTCTTTATCAATACACATCTGACTGTTGACAGGACCTTGTGCGGTGGTAATCGTGAGGGAAGGGGAGGGGGAGGATGGGTGAGATTTACAGTTTCCTTTACCAGGTAATGTCTCCTGTTGTGAAACAATGTGACAGAAAATCAGTACATCTGTGATGGCTCAGCAGTGTTCTTTGCCCCTCTACATTCTCCTCCAGGAGCTTATCCAAAGCTCACCTCAAATGTACTGTATGTAGCCTGTGGATGACTCATCCTCGGGAGAATGAGCTGCAAGGTGCAGGTAGCCTTGCAAATAAACATTTCACGATTTGCAGCGTCTTCTGAAGTACTTTGCTGACTTAAAGTCTTATCCTGCAGACTGCAAATACAAACTCTGACAAACCAATTCTGCCTCATTCTGTCTGTGAGGCACACCGTGTAAAATGTCCTGTGGTGTTGATGTGCCCCTTCAGTGTAACACATGTGACGTGTACATCAGTGAAATCCTGACACAAACACGCACAGAGTTGTGGATTTTTTTCTCCTTTTTTGCCATTTTGTTTATTGAAACAGAAAATTTGTCATCATTGCAGCAATTGCCATGGAGACAGGGTTTCAATCCCAAACCTAGTGGTATTATACACTGCATGAGTGTATGCTCATTACCGTTTACCGCAACTTCCAGGAAGACTGCACGCTGGGTGGATGGGTGACTCCGCCTCTTTTGGAGGGTTGTGGAACATGCGTCCATTCAAATCATCTTCGATTCCCGGCAGCCTTTTACACACGCACTGTTCCCCTAAAACATGTAAAATTCTCCCTTGTTTATCGTTTACTTTGCAGCATCCTGTTTTTCTGTCATATTAGCGGATAC